CCATTGTTAGGACTTACGCTTGTTGATTGATTGATATAAATTAAATAACCTACTTGGGATTCACTTAATAACATTTATAACAAATTTCCTTTAGGTCAAAATATAAATATGAACCCCGCAATCAATATGTCGATTTTTTTTTATTAAGATCGTAAAGTTATAATCAAGGAGTCAAACGTGAATACGAGACAAATGATTGCACGTACTTCGTGAAACGCTATTACTCATCCCGCGCACAATCTTGTGATCATCGCGATATCATTGTGTTATGGTTACTCTATCTATCATAATGTCGATCATGCCTGCAAATGCCACTTTTTTTCCTCGCCCCTTTCCTTGAGAATATTAAGATGTTACCGCTACAGCTATATTTCATTATTACCAATTATATTAAGAGTCGAATAAAAAGCATAATTCAAATTAAAAGAACCGGTTGCAAAGTCTTCTATGGAGTTTAAGAAATGTATGTAAGGTCAACGGATTAAATATCGATTTCAAGTTTGTGTAATAATATTGTAGGCGTTTTGTGTAGGTCGTTGCCTTAAAAAAATATATTGTAAGAAGTTTTTTACAGTTTAACAAAACTTGCCAGTTTATTTCATGTTTTATAATGGAGACCGAAAGACAAACTGCATTCCATATTAGGTAGGTAAAACAGTTAACATCCTCTGTTATTTGAAATTTTTTAATAGCAGTGGTGACTGAGCCTCAAAAAACGACCCAAAACTGAAGCAAACAAATTTTAGGGCGGTGTCTATAATTAAATGAAAGAAGTCATCATTATTCATCTAACTCAGCCAAGAAGGGCCTCAGGTCATTCTAATATTATTTACGGAAGGTCAGTGCTTTATTTTGAAATACATAAGTTAATTAATTGATAAAGTGGCAGCTTAGAGTGGGAGTAACAGGACGTGTATCGATCTATTTCGATGCGTCTTAAATGTCAAAGTCAGCCGACGTCAAGCCGTTAAAACTCTACACGAAAAAAAAAGAAACGTCAAAAATACTCTAGTGAGCTTAGTACACGTCAGTTTATATTACACAAAATATTAGAAAGATAAAAGTGTCGTGTAGTCGTCTAATAGTAGCTGCTGAAATAGCTTCGCTTTTTAACCACTTTGAGTTTTAAGTATAAATAGTATAATAACACACGCAGTTAAGTTAGGTTAGGTAACATTTTGCACCAATATATTTCACGGTAATTGGAGTGTATTTCTTCAAGAAATTTGTAAAGTTTTTCTAATTAAAAAGCGAGGTTAACACAGTACTTACACGAACTTTTTCAAGTGTTTAAAACAATGGAAAAGCATAAAACTGTTTTGTGTAAGTTGGCACTGATACTTTTCATTCTGCCAACCGTTTTGTGTTCAGTGCCGCCAGGTGTTAACTTTGATGTTTTATCGCAGACTAAGAGCCTTGGCGACTGCCAGGCGTGTAAAGTATTTGTAGACTCCTTTAAGAAAGGTCTAGAACGTACAGCGAGAGGGAATTATGAAGGCGGTGACGCGGCGTGGGAGGAAGAGAATAAGAAGTCGTACAGACGTAGTGAGATGCGCTTAGTTGATATACTAGACGGCATATGCAAGGATGTCTCAAAACATTCAGTTCAGTGCCACCAATACGCTGAGAAAGCTGAGGAACCCATAGAGCAATGGTGGGCCCAAGATGCTGATGAATCTGATGACCTTCACACTTACATATGTATTCACAGTCTAAAGGTATGTTGCCCAGAACATCATTATGGTAAAGATTGCACACCTTGCCCTGGGGATCACAATAATCTATGCAGCGGTAATGGAAAATGCCGTGGAGACGGTTCAAGAAAAGGAAACGGAACTTGCATATGTGATAAAGGTTATACAGGAGTAAATTGTGATCTCTGTGATATTGGTTATTACTTGTCTTATAAGGATCCAAATAAAATGCTGTGTTCTCCGTGTCATATATCCTGTTCCGGTGCATGCCGTGGGTCTACGCAAAGAGACTGTGATGTCTGCAAAATAGGTTTTATTCTGGACTCAGAAGAAGGTTGCATGGACATTAATGAATGTGAGGACAGAAAAAGATGCAAGAAAGGCGAATTTTGCCTTAACTCCTTAGGTTCCTATAAGTGTGTTGATTGTGATAAGTCATGTGATGGCTGTCATGGCGATGGTCCAGATATGTGCACAAAATGTGCAAAGGAATTTTCTTTGAAGGGAGAATTCTGTGTACCCGATAGAGAATATGAGGATGATGTTAATGAAAAATTTGCTACTACAAGGTAAATATTCATTGAATATGATTGTTTATTTCCAGTTTTTAGTTGCAATCGTTTTAACATTTGATGTTTTTTTGCAGAAATGATGAGCTGTAGGAAATTGGTCTTTAAAAATTAATTTAGGTAATTTTATTTTGTTTTGGTGATGGGGATTTTATTTATTAGCTTCTTATTTATTTCTACACTTATGTACATTAGGGGATATTGAATATTTATTTATTTACATTATTTATATTAGTACTAGTTATTATTTACATTTGTTTCGTACATGTACACAATATTCATAATGTATGCATAGATATCTATTGCAATATAAATTCTAAAATATCACTTATTTATAAATTACAATTATTTTTATGTATATACTGCACTATATAAACAGCTTTAAAACCTTTAAAGCTTTAAATGATTGTGTAATAAACAATACTAAATCCTAGTTTCTCTAAAAGGTACATGACATACGTTGGACTTCTGATAGCAACAGGCATAGTGTTACCAACATCTACGTCCCTGGGCAGCTTTATCGGAGCTTTGGTTTTGACATACATGGTTGGAGCGGAGTACTACTGCATGATTAACGGAATAGAAGGCTTGGTAAATCTGAAACAGTATGATTTAATGCAGTTGTTCAATGTGTAATTACTTTGCAAGTTTTTATATACATGTTTTTGATATATTTACACTGAATTTTGTTTTAAAAATTGTTAGAATTGGATTTAAGAATTCTTTTTGCCTATGTATAGTCAAAAGCACATCATCTTAACACTTTTGTGTGAATACCTGTAGCACTATGAAATATATACTGTGTGTGCTACGCAATGTGCTGCTTGATGTCCTATTAACATACAGTCAACAATACTTGAAACTCCATCAGTTATTTCTACCCAGTGTTATTTTTTTATTAAATTTAAATGTACTAGATTCATCATGTATATTACCAGAAATAGGGACAAAATAAGGGTCATACATTTCTCTGGTAGCTCATAAGTGATACATCACTTTTAAAAATCAACACATGTTTGCACTGAAACAGACAGCGCCAACAACTGACCTCTGTGTATGTCTCTGAGTATACTCAGTATTTATTGTAATAAAGATAATATCCCCGTCAATAGTTTCGAATTCCAGTCGGCCAATCGGAGCGCAATTGTCATAGTAATCATATGGAAGAATAGTTTTCAAACAAATTAAATGACATTTCGTCTCTATTTCTGGTTATAAACTCGATAACTACATTTAATGTTTAAAAAAAGGAATTTGAAAAGTAATACAAAGCAATCAATGTGATATTCATCAGTCGTCAAAATAGTGGTGCATTTAAGGAATTATTATGAAAAAATTCTAGATCGTAATAATATGCATAAATTAAAACACACACTATCTCATGTACTTCTAGTTAATATAAGTAGATAGCTAGTTTGTTATTATATCACTTCTTACGTTGTCATCAACACAACACAGTATGTATAGACTGAATATTAAGGGCGGTGAATAAGCAATTACAGCTGAGACTCTATTAGAAACACGAAGTCTAAGACTGAGGGCTTTCAGAGTCGAGAATCGCGGTTCCCGTACCGCCCGTGTTACATACAATGTTTTTCATCACATTTGGGAGAAAAAATTTAAAGATAAATGCAGGAAAAATAAATGTCACTTCACAACCAACAATATCTATGTACAACACAACAATTACGAATTTTGGAGATGAAGGTTTTTGATTTTTGTAAAGATGGCCAGCTATTCTTCCATAGATAATACATTTTGAACTAAAATGTTGTAAAACGCAAAATCGCTTGCAACCATGATGTAATAGATATAAAATAAATAATTTCAAAATACAAAAAATACTGCAGAATTTGAATTTATAAAATTAATTTTGGGAAACATAGTTAAATTGCAAAACTTAATTTTTTTCTATCAAGCTTATACATTCATATTCTTGAGAAATACAGTGCAATTAAATTTAAAAAATATATAAATTATTGCCATAGGATGGTAATTTATTGAAAAAGCCCGTGGCCATTTAGGACATTATGGTCGACTTTGCCTGCAAGTGTGATGAAAAATAATTTAGAAAAGGAAAAGCAGCCTTATCATGATCACAAAAGCAATAAGAAACTGAGACGATACCTCCAATGAACACTACGCCTGCTTTATTTTTTGGTCATTTTCTGTAATTTTTATAAACAGCCATATTTATTTACTAATATTATGCTCCCCGAATTTAGTGACAAAAAAAAACAAAAATAATTGGAAAAAAAAGAATTTTGTGAAAAAAAGAAACAAAAACAAAATAAAAACAGAACAGGTCCAAAAATTAAGTAGTGTTCGTTGGAGGTATCGTGATATCAGTTTCCAGATGCGAGAACAACCATGGCGCTAAATAGGGTTATAGTAGCGCTATTGCTGACAGACAAAAGAAAATTTTCTCTGCTTTTACTAAGTCTGCAGGAAAGTAACAGTTCAGTTGTTACTAGGTGGAGTGTTGATTCCCTTCCGAAGCGCAGCATTTTTTATTTTTGTTTTATGAATGTACAATTTTTTTTTTGACTTTAAGAATTCGATTGTGCAATTTGAGTGAATGTCAAGACAATGTTTCGTCCTTCGGGATAGGTTGTCTTCTTCTTTATAATGTTATAGTTCCATCGATACCATCGATGATTTGCCAATGTCAAGTTAAGAAACGCGTTATTTACTCAAAATAATTTTTATTCAGCATTTTAATTTTTTGTCATTTTTTTTGCGGGAAATCGTTTATATGTTTACGGTGGCCATTTTGAATGTCCATGTTTACATTCGCTCTCTGCGCTTCGATAGATATTTTTTTTTAAAGTTCTATCAGTAGATATAAATTATTGCCTGAATATATTGCATGGATATACACTAATAAATGTTAGATTGTTAAAAAAAAACAAGGTAACTACGACTTATTAACATAAATAGGCAGTTGTTTTGATGTTAATTTATTTGATGTCTATTTCATTAATTGTCAGCTTGTAACATAATATGACGATTTTAAGAAAGAAATTAACATTGTTTTCGTATTGTGCTCAAAGCAATTTTAATAATTTATGTTTGATGACTTTGTTAGGCTTTTTTTTTGACGGGGGACATCTTTATGGATACTTTATGTGGGGACTCTCCCTCCAGGCTGGAGTGCCTACCCCACTAAACCCCCCCCCTGGTTTCCCTCTCGTCGGTTGAGTCGGCGCCGTGGGATCAGTGAACATTCACCACGACGCCGCCCGGGACTTTGTTGGGCCTGCTGTCTGATTACCGGGATTTGTTCCCTTGTAGTTTTAAAATTTAGAAAACGGTTTTTTTCTACTTTGAGTATTTTGGTTAGCGCCCCCGGTAGGGCTGGCACGATAGGGCGCGGCTATCGCGAGAGCGACTTAGAGCGCGAGATACTGCTATTCTCGCATAGAGATCTAGTGCTTTATGTCGCTCTCACGCAAAGCGCACCTTGTCGTGCTTGCCCTACTTGCCCTACTGATCTGGACCAGGTAGTTGGTGTGATTGATACATGTATTTACTAATTTATTGTGTTATTTATTACTGTTGTTACTAATTGAGATTATTTGGTTGTTGGTGATTTATTGATTACCGCAAGTAAAATTTATTGTTTGGGATTTTTTCTCAGTTTGGTGTATTTAAGATAGTGCTGTGAACAGTGTATTAGGAAATAATTTTATTGTTTTGTAATTATAATTGGAATTTTTCCGTAACAATGTAGCTATTATTTAATTGCATGTAAGTAATACCATAGTAAGAATACTGTAAAATGTACTTAAGTACTTTGTAATTCCTACATTTAATAAATGTCTATTGTGTTTGCGCATATATGTATCGTTGTTTTTACTACTTAAACTTCAAGTAATATACATAGAGTTGATAATACCTCTGAAATACCGGAATGATAAAAATTTAATTCCAAAAAAAATATCAAAACATAAAAAGTTCTATTTTCACTATCAATCACAAAAAACTTTTATTAACACTACAATACAATAATTTTTCTGAATGTGGTATTAGACACTCTTGCGTAATAATATACATACAGTACTTATGTAATTTTAGTAATTCTACGTAGACCAGCTAGTTTATATACAATAAAGGTGAAGAGATAAGGCGAACGGGCGAGTCGAAGCTATCTTGAGTAGATCAGTGAGGTTAAGTGACATAAAAAGCTCAACAAAACACCATGAACCCACCTGTCTATCTATCTGTCAATCCGTGTCTGTCTGTCCATCAGTTGGTCAGCCGTACACAGCACATGGCGTCAAAAAAGATCATAATAAAAGGCGATTAAAGTTGTTCGGATTGACATTCCCATTCCCCGAATTTGTTATTCAATGAGTGTCATCGGGTAAATTACGTGAAAATTGTACGGGTAAGGATTACTAGTGTGGTAGTAGTGGTATTACGGGGTGGTAGCTCAGTGGGGAACGGTTGCTTACCAATTGAGAGGTAATTATTTTCTGTTTAGTAGCAATACGTCTTGCTTCCGGTGATGGGGAACATAGTTGTGAAAACGCGTGAATCCTCAACGCGCTTTGTGTCAGTGTGGTGGACTATGCCGTAAACCCACTCCTTAGAGGAGATCAGTATCCAGTAGGGCTTGTAATGGGTTGGACATGACGCTTTAGGCTCAATTTACAATTTGCCGCTGAACGGAATGGAACGGTAGCGTCAATTTCGCATCGCCTCGCTTTCTCACGACTGCACCTTGGGGCTGTAGTATTTCGTCGACGATCGACGTCACACTGCGCCTGCCTTCACGCCACTTCTCGCGGAATCACCAGGTGCCGCCTAGGCAGCTGCGGATATTCCCGCGAATGCGCGAAAAGCAAATAAAAACAAGTTAGTTTGTTTTCCGCACAAGTGTTTTTTTTTGAGTCGTATCTAGTTTGTACGTTACACATTTGACATAATGTTAGTTTTACTATGTACAATTTCGTTACAAAAATTCGCTTCCTAAATTGAATTAAGCCTAAGCATTTAGTCGCCCGTGGGTCATGTTCATGACACAGCTATGCTGCTTTGTAATTGTAATTAGATAGTCTGATGACCTTGAACAGTGCAGTGAATAGCGCTTTTAGTGATATTTTTATTACGTCATTTCTATTCAATGGCACATGCTGTCGCTACAAATAGTCTGTTACGTATCCAGTTTTCTAAACACTGGAAAAACTGAGTAATATCGATATTTAACTCTCATTTTTTAGAAGCGTTTTAGTCACGATTGTCTCGTGGCCGTGACATCCTTTTCTGACTATTACCTACGTAGGTGGAGTACAGGAAAAAGAAATCGCGATTGGAACGGTTAGAAATCTGTGCGCGATCTCCGTAGGACCAATTTAGGATATGAAATTTGTTATATTAGTTCTGTAAATTAATTTAGATATATTTCTCATTCGGGATGAGAATCCGCGCTCTATTTACTCACCGGAAATTTATCCGGGTAAAATAATTTATTGTCTCGATTTGAGATGTCAAAAGTTTCCGATCGGGCAGTTGTGAATGACAATTAAGCGCTTCGAATCGGAAAGACGCAGTTTCCGAACGGGAGAGGCAATCAAAATCAGCTGCTGGTCTACCCAGACCAAAGCAGCTCCAGATAGCACCCTCGGGAATCGAAATTTTGTGACAGATACTCTACCAGGAGATGCATCATAATTATCTATATTATCGTGCAAGGTATGCATTGAATTAAATAATAAGCCATAAGGTTGATAATGCGGCTGAAAACTGTTTTCAACGAATTTTTCCGTCCGAAAATCAATTTTATGTATTTATAGTACAAAATGCGGAAGATATACATATCCAACAATTAAACTGCTATTTTTTATTAAACCAAAACCCTATTATTGTGACTTTAAATTCTACATAGTATTGGCTTATATCTTACTCTTTTATAATGTTTTTCCTTCAAGTGCCAATAATTGAAACGGTGTCAGGTATTCAGTCCATATATATTTTAGTCGAATGAGTAGGAAAATTTTGTACGAAACAATACATTTTTTCGCAATGTCCAAAGAGGTTCCCATAGCAAGATATCTTCATATGAATGAGTGAAATTTCCTCCCTTCGGATAAAACGTAATAATGATAACGCCCCGTGTGCATAATATGTAAAGTTCATTCATTAACGAACATAACAGTGAGATTTTAAAGTTTGATTCTAGTGTTACTTGATATTTATTCTGTAAATTTTACATAACTTATTAACAAAGCCCGGAATAGGCAAAGTATGTTCACCTAATTTTCTATATTTTAATTTGTAACTAGCAATTATTTGAATAAAGCTTTAAAATTCTAACTAAAAATAGGATTGTTTTTTGTTGTGATTTTTTTTGTCTTTTATTTTTTTATCGTTCCGGTATTTCAGTGGGACGTATTGTCCGCTCTGTGTCTATTACTAGAAGTTAAACGGTACATATAATCTGCTTATTCCCATATCTAC